TACATGTAAACAATATAAAAAGATACATATTTTTATACCCTTTTCATTATGAAGTCTTTGAATTACTGTCTAGCGACAACACATATCAATTCTAACTTAACATGTTCCGAGTGTCAAGAGCTGCACGTGGTGGCCCTTCGCTGGAGTGGGAGAGACCGCCATGTAATGCTGTTGTTCTTGTTCTGAGTTGTCAAGTTGAAGTAATTTCATTGCTGACTCTCAAATGGGTTTTCAAAGACTGTAAAGCACGCAGCAAAGTGGCCATCTTTCAACCTTGGAGGTTGTTTATTCGAACCACCCACTTTTGGGTTGGCAATGCAACTCCCTACCACTAGGCCGCCAGACTGAGTTTTAAATTCAACCCAAAATAAGAGGATGTTGTTGTTGCTCGGTGCTCTTGAGTGAGTTCCAACTGCCAGCAGCTGCCTCCTCTGACCAAGCAGAAGTGCCCCGGAGCTTTCCAGGCTGGAGTCCTTGCAGGCACACACCACCAGGCCTTTCTCCTGCAGGGCTGCCCGCTGGATGTGAAATGGCAACCTTCCAGTTAGCACTCGACACTTAACCATTGTGCTATCAGAGTTTAATTTAGAAAAATGAAAAGCAATTTATTTTAAAACTCTTGAGAATCTAAATTAAAAAAGAAAAGCTTTCCATTTTCAGCTCAACATACTGATTAAACTTTAATCTTACCTGATATTAACAGATAAAGATACATCTTGAACTTAAAAAGACTTCATGTTGGTAATGTAGGGGGTCAGCAGTCAGCAAAAGCGAGGAAAACCCTCAGTGAGATAGACTGACATAAGTAACAGCCATAACAAGAAGCACATACCCCAACAGTCATGGTGCGGGCAGGCCAATGGGCTGCTCTGTCTGATATATGTAGGACCACCAAGAGTCAGAGCTGACGGCAACTAATACCAGCAGCTGCTAAAAAAGCTCTTCACAGACAGCCCAGCAAGGAATTTCTGAGACAGTGGACTGACGACACAGTTCTGAAGAGGTCAGAGCCCACAGAGCTATAGCATGTATGCAGTGGGGGAATTCTCTCAGAAGAGCCCTGGACAAACCCTAAGGTCAGAGACAGCAGGGGCTTAGGAGAGCGAGAGCTGGAGAAACACAGGCAGGGGCAGCTGCAGACCTTCCAACATGAGGTCTCTGATGTCAGCACTTGCCCTGGACTGATGCTACAGTTTTTCTCAAGTGGGACCTCCCATCCAGGTGGCTCTCTCACAGCATAGCAGGTGTAGAGAAAGGCTGGTCTACAGTCCTTAGGAATTCTGGCAGAGTGGAGAACAGAGAGAGAGGCCCAAGCTCAGAAGACAGGCTTCCCACATGCTCTGAAGAAAAACACAGGCCTGTGCCCTTCATTCCCTTACACAGCACTCCAGGCAAGAGCAGCCCTAGTCAGGGTGTGGCTTCCTAATCAGGGCAGACTCTCCTTTGTGTCAAGGATCTGCAGGGAGTCTAGCTAATGATACCATACAAAGTGGATCCTCATCTACAAATATGAATTGACAGCCAAGAATCAATAAACTTTTGGGGCAAAAAAAAGCAAGGGAAAGAGGTACACATAACAAACAGGGGAAACAAATCCTGAGAAACAGGAGCAATAGAAGAATGCCGAGAAGGATGAAAGGCTCGGGCTAGGCTGTGCGCGATTTTGCAACCACAACCAAAATGGGGCAAAGAGCTACTAAGTAGACATAAACTGTCATTTCAGGGAATACATTCTTTTGGTTTGGAGGCTTAGAGCTATCAGGGCAATCAATTCAATCAGTATAACATAATCCTTTATTTTATTGTTGTTGAGAAAATACAGAGCAAAACTTATACCAAATCAACTTTTTTCATGTACATTTATTTCAGTGACACTGATAACATTCTTCAAGCTGTGCAAACTCTCATTTCCTGAGTTATTCTTCTTTCATTAACATAAGCTCAGTGGCCCCTGAGGTTCTTATCTAATCCTTCTAGTTGTTTTTGCCACTTTGATCACGTATGTTGTTACTGCTATCAGGTGTCATCAAGTCAACTATGAGTCATAATGTCCTAATGAACAACAACAGCTCTGAACCATGCTCTCCCGCACCATCCTCACCATTTCTGACGTCACTGAGCCCATTCTTACAGTCACTGTTTCAATCCATCCTGTTGAGGGTCTTCCTCTCTCTATGGTCCTCCACCTTTCCCAGCAGGATGTCTTTCTTCAAGAACAGACCCTCCTGACAACATGCTCAAAATATGTGAGACAGTTTCACCATCCTTCTCTATAAGTAGCACCTGGCTGTACCTCCTCCAGGACAGACTTGCTTGTTCTTTTGGCTTCCATGGGATGTACCACAATTCAAAGGTATTGATTCTTCTTCTGTCATCTTTATTCACTGTTCAACTTATAGATACATAGGAAATAACTGAAAATATTATGGCTTGGATCAGGCCCACCTTTGTCTTTAAACTAACACCGTTGCCTTTGGTACTCTGGAGAGGTCCTTGACAAAATAGATTTTCCTAATGCAACATGTCTTTTGATTTCCTGATTGCTGCTACCACGAGTGTTGATTGTGGATCCAAGTATAATGAAATAGTCCACAATGCAAATATTTTTTTCTCCATCTATCATATTTTTGCCCATCGCTGCAGTGGTGAAGATTGTAATTTTCTTGATGGTGAGATGCTCCAGTGGCCAAGTGGTAAGGAGCTGCGCTGCCAACACAAGAGAACTATGCAGTTTGAATCCACCGGTGACTCTGTGGGGAAAGATGGGAAATCTTCTCCAGTGCAATTTATAGCCTCTGGAAACACGCTGGAGTGTCTTGAGGTAAAAGAGCCTAACACTCAAGCCAGACTTTTCTCACACACACACCCTGGCCCTGCCACACATTAAACTACATTGTTGTTGGCTTTTCAAAAGACTTCATGGGATATTTTGGTTTTAAGGTATAAAGATTTTCTTAGGGCAATAGTTTCAGGAGTTCCTTCAGTCTCTGTGGATCCAGAAAGTCCAGTGTTCTTGAGCATTTGAAATTTTGCAGTTTTACTCTTGTCCTCTAGGGAGAAGTGACTGATGTTAAATAGACTAAATGAGTCGCCAAGCCCTTCTTAAATCTCTCTGAGAAGCTTTCCAGCACTGATCCCTGGCTCAGCTGTGCCTCCTGGAGGTGAGACCACTTGTTCATCTAATCCTCCATGGCTGTTGACCACTGAGTTGGCCAAATCCCAGTGTTTCCATGCACAGCTGAGTGCTGTTGGGTTTGCAATGGCTGACTGGTGTTTTTTTGTTTGTTTGTTTTGTTTTGTTTTTTTTTAATATAGATTGTCAGGGCTTTCTTCTTTCCTCACTGGTACTTAACTGGTAAACAGATTGGTCAATACGGTCAAGATAGCAAACTGTAGAACTGAAGTGAGCAAGGAAAGCTATGCCCCCCAAGAGAACTTCAGGAGTTCACTCCTACTTTCAAGACACATAACATTTTTTAAAAACTGGAGGTAATAGGTAATCAGGGAAAGCAGAACCTAATTTAGAGTGGGCTGAACTGCTTTATCTGTGCATGTCATTCCTCTGCACCACTCAGGCAGGCAGCGCTGGGTCTACTGTGGTCAACACAAGAAGCTAGACAGCCCTTGGTGGACATGACACCAGATGGCTCTGGCTCTGCTGGGCACCCGTGTCCTCTTGTATCTGCTCCTGCCAGGGGAAACCACTGCTTAGGGAAACTGCTGGAAAAAAGTTTAGGAAGCTTTAAAAAGCACTCTTGTAACTGTTCTCTGTCAATGAGAATGCTGGCAGGAGAAATAGTCAATTAATTATCACAGGAGGCTGGCTGGAGACTGGCGGCCAATACCTCATGGTGAAAGACTACTAGAAATTAGCGATATGGCCAGTGTAACAGGCTATGGTGGTAGGGGTGGTGGGGGGAATATGACCATAGGCCCCTGACTACAAAGCAATAAAACAAGAAGATAGAAAATAAAAGCAAATGCACATTTTTCTACAAAAACTTGAAAAGGCACTCTACTTGGATCCACAATTAATACCAAATATTAATTGCATTTAAAAAGATACCAATCATAATGATGGAAAATTTGCCAAAGAATGACTACTAGTGATAGTCATACAATGTGATTAATGTAACTGATGCAACTAAATTTACAAATAAAAATGCTAAAATTGGTGAATGCTGTACTGAAAGAATTTTCTTTACAAGATACCAAAGTGAGCAATAAAGATTATTTGGGTAAGGACAAATATCAGGAATTTCTTTTTGCTGATAATTAAATACTCAAACAAGTGAGCAATAGTCTGTGAATGGAAACCAAGAAAACACCTACAACATTAGATAAGAATATGTTACCTCTTTGACATTCTGTAAGGTTTCAGGGGTGATGGTGAAGTCCACAGGACTTGGAGTCAGTTTCCCCTTCTGAGGCTAAAATGGGAAAGAAAAGAAAAATCAGTTGGTCAAAGGCCTGGAATCACAGGTCACAATCCGGGCACCAGAGGCAGGACACTTGGGTTATAAATATAGTTTTACCAAAACCTAATCCTGTGCCTTTTTTCAAGTGTTCTTATTTCCCTGTGACTCAGTTTCCTCATGCGCAAGAGATATCTTAGTTTCTAAAGACCCTTTAAGTAAAGAATTTGAAAAATAGAACCAAGAAACAGAAGAGTAACATTGGGTAGATACTTCCTTTAAAACTCCCTCATAGAATAAGAGCTAAGACTTGAGCATTTCTACGTAACAGAGACACAGAGTGAGTCCCATCATCCACTCACTCTGATGCCGAGTCGGAACTGGCTGACAGCTGACCCTCCAGCTGGTTTCTGCGGTTGTAAATCACGTGAGAGGAGACTGCCCATCCTTCTCCTATAAAGCCATTCATGGGTTTGAACTGCCAGAGAGGCACCACCTTTGAGTCAGCAGCACAACACCCTATGGACTATGCCACTGGATCCCTTAATGACCTCAGAGGCTATTATTACCATTGTCTCTCACTTTACAAATGAGGAAGGTGAGGGACAGAAAGGTTTAAATGAGCCTTCTCAAGTTAAGTGGCAGAGACTGAGATTCAAACGCAGGCAGGCTTGGCTCCCATGCTGATCTCAATCACTGAGCTATACAACTGTCAACCGGGACAAATCGTACCTATAAAGCTTTAGTCACATAGTTAACAAAGATCCTTCTCAAATTACACAACTGCAGGGTCCATCTAGACAGCCAAGCTTCACTCAAGCTCCCCTGGCAACATCTACTGTGGGGCTGGCCCTAGAGGTCCAGCAGTGCCCATATCCAGTGAGCTGCAGCGGGAGAAGGGCACTAACTCATATGCCACGTCTACTCATTTATCAAAACCTTATTTTAACTTATTCTTCAACATATTCTTTCAATGAATAAGCTCATGAACCTATGCTTAGCAAAGACATTCTTCACTGCAGCATCGAAAGTCTACAACTTGCTGTAAATGACAGATCACAGCCACAGGATACAAAGAACACAATTCTTGAAGACCAGGAACTGGTAACTCGTCCTGGAGCAGTGGAGAACGGTCCTGAGGCAGTGCTGGCCCTCTGCAGGGGTCTGTGCTGACAAGAGAGTGGGCTGGGGAAGCCTGACCTTTCTGGGTCACTGCAGGGCCAATTGAAGGCTCTTTTTAGTAAAGACATGGAGGGTTAGTTAGTTGTTTGTGTGTGGGTTGTGTGGGTTTTTTTTCTTTAATTTTAGGGACATGTACATTACTCACTCCCCCCGCCCCGCCTATCACTCTGCATCCTTAATGAGGGGAGAGAAAGGAGCCCTGGTGGTATAGTCCCTAGGGAGTGGTGCTACTAACCCAAATGCAGCACCTCTCTGGCTGGCAGCTCTGAGGGAGAAAGATGGGCAACCTCCTCCTGTGCATACTGAACCTTGGAAACCCAACAGAGGGTCAGCCAAAGTTGGTTCTGACACAACGGCACTGAGGGAGGTGGCACAGAAGCTAAGCTTTTGGCTTCCAATCTGAACCCACCCAGGAGCTCCAAGGTAGAAACACATGGAGGTATGCTCCCTAAAAGATCAAGGCCTAAAAAAGCAACAGGGCTGTTCTATTCTGTTGTGTGGGTCATTATGTTGTGGAATTGATCTGATGGCATCCAGTAACACCAATGAGAGAAAGGAAAATAGGTATTTAAATCCTGTAACAAGACTGCCACGAGAACAGTCTGTCCTGGAGAGAGAGCAAATCCTTGGAGGCAAGGATTTTGGAGCTTCACCTCACATCCTTTGCATGCATTGCTAGAAGAAGCCAGTCCTTGCTGAAGGACATCATATTTGGAAAGGTAGAGGATCAGCGCAGAAGAGGAAGACCCTGCATGAGATGGACTGCACAATGGGACACGAGTCAGAGACGGTGAGGCGGGCTTAGGTTAGGATAGGGCAAGGTTAGGGCCATTATTCAAAGGGTCACTATGAGTCATAGTTGACTAGAAAGCACATCAACAACAAATCATATAACAGAAACAAAGATAGGAACTGTTTTTGTCATTTTGCATAAAATGAATACAGTAACAACTTCTTGCCATCGAGTCAGAACCAACTCAACAGCTGATCCTTCAACAAGCAGGTTTCAGAGGCTTAAACTGCATGGGAACTGCCGGTCTCTGTTTAAACCGCCTGCCTTTGGGTTGGCAGAGACCCACAAGAGCTCTCTAATGCATGCAATGTTGTTCTAGTGCACCATTGTTGTCGTTGTTGAGCTGGAACTGACCGATAGCTGACTCTTCAGTGGGTTTTCGGAGGCAGTTAATCTCATGGGAGATTACCCATCCTTCTCCCTCAGAGCAGCTGGTGGATTCAAACAATGAACTTTTGGGATTACAGCACAGCTTCTTACTATGAAGCTATACAATATATACCTAAGGTATACAATAGATTTTATTATGAAAATGACACTAAAACACTATTATTGGAATTTTAATGAGAGGGAAACTACAGACGTCTTAAACCCTAAAAAGGTTACAAAGACATAAAGCCAATGAGGGACAACTGTGATCTCACAAACTGCCAAGAGATTCAAGTCTTACCCTCTTATTTATGGACTACCAAAAGACGACCATTAGCTGCCGTTCAACTGATTCTGACTCATGGCATCCCTGTGTGTGCAGAGCAGAGCCCTCCCGAAGGCTTGCAATGGCCGTGGCCTCTGTAAGCAGATCACCAAGCTGGCCTTCTGAGGCATCTCTGGGTAGCATTAAATTGGCAAGCTTTTGACTAGTAGCTGTGAGAAGCCAAATTTCATACTAAATCTTTATAATAAACCAAATGCTATAGCAGGCTATGAGGGAGGCGTAGATACAAGCTGGAATTCACCCAGAAGCACTAAGGCAAACCTTAGGCGTTTACACGATTCTTGTATTTGTTAACCCCTTCCTCCTGAGTCAAGCATAAGGTTTTCAATAGAAAGAGCTTAGCTTCATTTGCACTGAATTCTCTTTGTGATTTGCTCCCTGGCAATTTTCAATAAAGGCACAGGAAAGCACTTCAGTTGTTTGCGAACTGATCACCTCCTGCTTTACCTCTTTTTACTTATACATTCTTGATGTTCTGCCTCATTATTAATACTTATTAATATACTTTACCCTCGATCTGCAACAAGTAGCCAAATTCTTAACAGCTTAAGCATTAAATGCTTACATACCAAAAAAATACTCAAGGACAAAAGGAACTCAGTAATGGCAAATTTTCCACAAAAATATACTGCCCCCTGACAGCTTCTCACTCTCATTTACTAAGGTCTGTGGTGAAGCCTGCGAGATGGAAGGGGTTCCTGGATGCTGGGCCCAGGCTCAATGTCAATAATACTGTTCATGGCACAGACTAGACAACTTAAGAAAAACTAGGGCCCTACGGCTAATCTAGCCATCAGCAGCACCCTGACAGGCTTCTCCAGCTCCCTATGGTCTACACTCAGGGGCTATAGCTCTCTTCTAGCTCTTGGGCCTCAGGAGTGATGCTCCCGGGCAGTCAGGGCTAATTCCTGCCAGCTTCTCTCAGGCCCATCACTTCCAGGCTCTCCTCATTCCTGGACTCTCCCAGCGAACCTAGTATTTTGCTAACTTCTTTTCCACAGACCTTGGGTGGTGCACATGGTTACTGTGCTTCGCTGCTAACAGAAGGGATGGTGGTTCAAGCTCACCTAAAGGCAACCTTAGAAGAGAGGCCTGATGGCCTATTTCTGAAAACTCAGCCATTGAAAATAAAATTGCTCTCTGCTTGACTTTGACACACATGTAATCACTGTGTCAGAGTTGACATTATGGCAGTTGGTGGTGGTAACCGTTCCTGAACCATGCAGATGCAAACCGAAGTCAGGCTGCCGAGTCTAGGTACCTAGGCAGTGCCAGTTATAGCAGGTCCTGGGAATTAAAGAGAGCAGGGTGTGGGCACTACAGTAGGAGCAGGAAGGCAGAGCCAACCTGCCAAGAAACAACTAAGGGAATCGAATCCAGTGCCATGGGCATGAGTACTTCGCACCGCATGTCACATCTTGGGCACAACCAACAGTCACTGCTACGTTCTGATCGGCCAGGGAGTCAGCTTCAAGTGGGCTGCGGAAGACTGCCAAGAGCTCACTCAGTCTCACTGCAGCAGTGGCGGCGGTGGTGAGCCAGATTCCCATGTTTGCATGTGCAAAGAATCTCTGAAAAATATTCTGCACTAAAGAGTATTAGCACAATAGGAGATTCTGTATGGCTCTGAGCAACTTAGCATGTTCTTGCTGGATATGCAAAGAATGCAGAGCCTGATCCATGTTTACTAGGCCTCTTCTTGGCTGTATTTGCCAGGATCGACACTGAGAGAATATATGGTGTCTCCATCTTAAACTCTAGTAGGCTTGCTTGTTGTTTAATGCCGCTGACATAACTCACAGCAACCCTATGAACAACACATCAGAACCCTGCTCTGTCCCGCACCAGCCTCATGATCTCTGACAGGCTCAAGCCCACTGTCCTAGTAACTGCGGAATATCTTGTTGTGGGTCATTCTCTTTTTGGCTGACCCCACTCCGTTTCCCAACATGATGTCTTTTTCCAAGGACTGGCTCCTTCTGATAAATTCTCAAAGTGTATGATAGTTTTACCACCTTTGCCTCTAATGAGTAATCAAGTTACAGTTCATCCAAGACAGATTTGTTTACTGAAAAGCTGTGGCTTTCCTGGCCTTGTGTTCCTTGGTGTGACACGAACTCACTAGAGGGACTGTACATCTGCGCTCACTGGCTCACTCCTGTGGAACCCCGGGCCGGCCAGGCAATGATGCACAGACTGATGCTTGTGCACGAGAAACAGGCTCTCATCTCTGACCTGGGAATCTCATGTCTTCTACCAAGAACAGTAGCAAGCTAACTGACTTAAGCGTAAAAGCCCAGATTCAGTAGAAGATTCCCATTAGTAAGCCCCAGGGCCCCCAGCAGAGCTTACGGCAGAGTGCACAATGAATTCACAGGTCTTGGTCAAGTCCTTAGCCAACAGAGACCGCCTCATGTCACAGCGCAGTGTGTACTGGAGGGAAAGGCAGAAAAGAAAATGCCATCTCAGTGTATTTGCTTTCATCTTAGAATTATATCAAAAAGACAAGTGATTCATCATTATATAAAAGGTATATAAATAATGTTTGTTGCTGTTAACCACATCAAGTGAGCAATGATCATCCTCAAGTTACATAACTGTCCATCTCACAGTGACCCCACATAGAGCAGAACTGGGGAGGTGTGATCTGAGTTTTCACTGGCTGATTATTTTTAGAAGTAAATCACCAGAACTTTTTTCTGAGTTTGTCTTAGTCTAAAGCTTTGCTGAAACTATTCAGCATAACAGCAGCATACAAGCTTCTACTGACAGACAGCTGGTGCGTGTGCATGAGGTATATGGCTAGGAACTGAACTCAGGTTTGCCTCATGGAAGGTGAAAATTCTGCAATGAACCACCCCTACCCTCATACATAATCACAGAGGAGAATCAATGATCAAAATAAAGCCACTTTTACCAGGAAAACAAAGTCAAAATATTTCAAAGTTATTCTAATTCCACAGCCATCCTATAGTAGGACCCAATGGAAAACAAATGTATTTTCTTAACATAAGGGAAGACCAGACTGCTGAATAGAAAGAAAAATGCACATAGAAAGAGAAGCTAATTATTCCTCTAAGTGACCCAGACAATATTACAGCTTTTTGAGCTTCAGTTTACTGCCCTGTAAAATGGGTATGTTAACACATATCTGCAGTGATAATCAAATAATGTGTGATGACTACTTGGTACAGGATCTGGCACACAGTCCTCAAGTCAACTTCATAGCAACCCCACGTATGACAGAGTAGAACTGTGCTCCACAGGGTGACACCACGTACAACAGAACGAAATACTACTTGGCCCCACACCATCCCCACGATCAGATGGAGACTGGAGTGTTGAGATCCATAGGGTTTACACTGACTGACTTCTTGGAAATAAACCATATGGCCCTTTTTTCTATATTGATCTTAGTCTGGGAGTTTTGCTGAACACTGTTTAGTTAATAAGCAACACTCAGGTTTCCAAAGACAGATGGGCTATGACTGGACTGAGGAGCATCGGCCAGGAATCAAACGGAGGTCTCCTGTAAGCCAGCAAGAATTCTACCACTGAACCACTACTAATCCCGGAGGTGATATGGATATAAAAAACACTATGACTAAGTGTAAGTAAAAAGTGTTTTTGTGCATATGTCATGTGAAAAGAGCCTGGTGGTGTAGTGAGACAAGTGTTGAGTTACTAACCAAAAGTTAAGCAGTTCAAACTCACTAGCTGCTCCTTGGGAAAAGGATGAACGGTCCTGACAGAAATGGGCTTAAGTACTTGGAGAAAAATGTTACTAGGAGTTATCAACACAGCTTTCTATCTAAAATAACGTGTTTGGCCTGCTCTTCAGAATAAAAGCACTGGGCACCATGGAGAGGGGCTCCTGTGGGGTAGATCTGTGACGACTGCCATCACTTTCTGGGCAGCATGAAAGTAAACCAAGTTGTCAAATCCATTCTGATTCTTAGTGACTCTACAGGCATGCATATACTCCCCACTGGGTGCATCTTTACAGAAACAGATCTCCTCATCATTCTCCCTTTAAGTGGGGTGTGAGATCAAAATGACAACGTTTTGGTTAGCTTTAATCACTGAGGAATCAGAGTTTCTGAATGAACAAAAATAGATAAAATGTCCATAATCCCAGTTTCTCTCAAGAAAAAGATATTTTTAATTTTTTTTATATTGGTGTACATACAAAATTCTTATACATTGTATTGCACACTATCCTTCACTCACATTGTGTTTCATACAATCATTCCCATTCACTGTGTCTTATAAAGCCAATCCCCATTGAAATATGCCCACCATTACCCTGTTGTGTTTTTTTCAGATCTCTGCCTGATCTTCCCCATTTCATTTAACACCTCCCTATACCGACCAAATTGTGTAACTCATGATTCCTCCCCCCCATCCTCACCCCTTCCCCTCTTGGACCACAGACATATTTTACTACTTATCCTTCAATTTTTACAATAATGATCTTATGCAGTATTTGTCTTTATGAGACTGAGTTCCTTTATTCAGCGTATTGCTCTCTAGTCTTGCCCCCCTAAATACACACACACACACACACACTTTAAACAAAAAGATAGCAAATTTTAAGATGAATTACAAATCAGATCATATTTTGGAATTTAAAACATTTTGATAGGTAAAAATTTAACAATGATTGTGTAAGAAATGTATTAAAAATCTATGAGTCAGCAATTGTGACTGAATGTGTACTTAGCTCCCTTTGAATCCAGATACTGATTCAAATACAGCAATTGCTGTAAACTTCTGGGGGCTGTCCAAAGCCCTGATTATGTATATTGCCTAAAACAGGGACAGTAATAATGAAGGCTAGAAAGCTACTTTTTTCTTTGAAAAAGGTATTTTTTGCACTAGAATATGCCATTCTAGAATACATTCTTCTTCACGATAGCACTCCTAATCAATACATAAAACTCACAGAAAAACTTTTTACTCGATTATGTTGAAGATTTGTATTTTAAAAGTGCCATATACACCTACCAATGCCAAATCATCAACTGAAATCTAATTACATTTTTCAAAGGCTTAACTTTCAGTCTTTTTGCACATTCATAAGACAACACGGCTTTGTCTCATCCAGCAAGGGAACTGCAGCAAGATGGGTCCCACAAAAGTACCCTTATTCACACTGAATAAAGGAAAGGCTCTCTTCCTCTCACTCTGAGTCATGACTCCAAACAGCTCCTGGGACAACAATAGCAACTGTGAAAGACACCCTTAACCAGCAGAAGGAGACGGGAAGTCATAAATTCACTTCCCCTCATTTACAAGGTTTATTCAATAAAGAATACAAGCCTATGTTAAAGCCATAGCCTTTGGGTATTAAACAAAGAGATGTTCAGAAGTATGAAATAGACATAAGTTGCTGCTGGTGCCAGAAAGATGTTAGGGCACATCTATTATCAAATAGTAAGAGCATCCTCTTACGGGTCAACTTGGCCTGAAAGAGCTCAAGAGAAACAAAAGAATTTTACATAGTTAGAGCATGCCTCCTCCAGGATCTCTATCAAAAGAATGGTCATCTATTGAGGTGTAGTGAATTAGTTATTATAGGCCTTCTAGTGATGATCTAAGATCATTCTAGGAGTGAGTCAGGATGCATTCTATCTCCATACCTTTTCTTTCTTTTTTTTTTTTTTAAGTAAAATTTACATATTATACTGGTTTACTTACAAAGTTTCTATACCTTTTCAATCTATATGCAGAACCGATCATTCAGGAGGCTGGGCTTTATGAGGAGAAATGTGGGATCAGGATTGGGGGAAGGCTCATCAACAATCTTACAGAGATGACACAACCTTGCTTCCTGAAACTGAGCAGAACCTGAAGTGCTTACTACAGAAGGTCAAGGACTGTAGTCTATAATACAGATTGAAGCTCAACATCAAGAAGACAAAGATTTTCACCACTGGGCCAATTGGTAGCACCATGATAGATGGAGAAGCGATTGAGGCTGTTAACAATTATAGCTTGCTTGGCTCCACAATCAACACTTCTGGCATCAGCAATCAGTAAATCAAAATGCATCACACTGTCAGGGATCTCTTCAGGGTATTGAGAAACAACCATGTCAATCTAGGTACACTTGATCCAGCCCATGGTTTTCGCAATTATTTGCTATGCATCAGAGAGCTGGACAATGACTACAGATGACAATAGAATTGATATCTTTGAGTTGTGGTGCTAGAGATGAGTCTCAGACATATCATAGACTGCCAAGAAAACAAACAGGTATGTCTTGGAGAGGGTAAAAGTTTCTCCTTGGAGGATAGGATTTTGAAGCTATGTCTCACATACTTTGGGCATGTGGCCAGGAGGGGAATGGTCCTTGGAGAAGGACATCATGCTTGGACAGGAGGGACAGCTCAGGAAAAGAAGACCCTGGATGAGATGGATTGATACTCTAATTAAGGCAAAGGATCTAAGTGCGCCAGAATCAGTGAGACTGGTTCAGGAAAGGGCAGGGTTCAGAGTTGTTGTACACAGGACCGCTATGAGTCGCAGGTGACTTGATGTCACATAACAACAACAGTGATTTTTATAATTCCTACCAAATGACTGAGCAGGATGATGCAACTGCGAGATACTAGAGACCCATCAAGAGCACTAGAAGCTTGCAAATATTGTAAATAAGGTACATGGCACTCTTGAGGGGATTGTTGTTGTTGTTGTTATATACTGTTGAGTTACCTGTGACTCATAGTGACCCTATGTACAAAAACTCTGAGCCCTGTCCTAACCTGAGCCAATCTCAGTCTCCAACACAATTGCTCCTATTTCCACAGTCACTGTGCCAATCCATCTCAAACAGGTGCTTCCTCTCCTACTTTGTCCCTCTACCCTTCCAAGCAGGATATTCTTCTCCATCGACTGGTCCCTCCTGGCAGCATGATGGAGTTTCAAAATCCTTGCCTTCAAAGTACAACTTGGTTTCACTCTCTCCAGTATAGACCTGTTTGTTCTCTGGGCAGTCCATGGTTTGTTCCATACTCTTCTTCAGGACCACAACTCAAAGGCATCTATTCTTCTGTCATCCTTATACAATGGCTAGCTCTCTGATGCACAGCAGGTAATTGTGAAGATCATGGCCTGGATCAAGCACACCTTAGTCTCCAGACTGACATTGTTTTTTCTTGCCTTTAAAAAAAAATTTACACTGGTTTACCTACAAAGTTCATCTACATTGCCCCTCACCCCAGAACCCCTCCTACCTTCTCAACCCATCCCCTGCCACTCATCAAACTGTGAGACCCACCCGTCCATCCCAACCTCACTGTTCTCTCTCTCCTCCCCTTAGGTCCTCATACACATTTTACTAGTTATCCATTTCAATAATAATAATGGTCTTATACAGTATTTATCCTTATGGGACTGAGTTAGTTCACTCAGCATAATACTCTCTAGTCTCTCCCAAGATAGGTAGTGATTTACAAAATCATTGCTCCTGCATGTTGTGAAGTATTCCATCATGTGAATGCACCATAATTTTTCAATCTATCTGATTGTGGTTTGACATTTGGGGTATTTCCATGTTCTTGCAATGGAGAAAAATGACACTACGAACATTGGTGTAAAGGTATCCATTTGTGTCTCAGTTTTCATTTTCTCAGGTTATATTCCAAGCAGTGGAATAGCTGCAATATTCTATGTTCAGCATTCTGCGGAAACACCAAACCGCCTTCAAGTGATTGTACCATTTAATAATCCCTCCAACAATGTATAAGTTCCTATCTCTCTACATCCTCTCCCACATTTATTACTTGCTGCCCTGCTAACCTCTCCCACTGCTACTGGAGTGAGATGGTATCCCATTGTGGTTTTGATTTGCATCTCTCTTACTGCCAGTGATTTTGAGTACTTCTTTATGTGTCTGTTGGCCATCCAAATATTTTCCTCTGAAAATTCTTTCCAGTCTTTTACCTATTTTGTAATTGTGTTATCAGTCTTTTTCTTGTGAAGGCCCTATAAGACTCTGATGAGATCTTTTAGACTGACATCTTTGTACTTCAGCACTTTGGAAAGGGCCCAAACACCAAACATTTTTAATCAAATTCATCTTTTGATTTCCTGAATGCTGTGCCAAGAGCATTAATTATGGATCTGAGCAGGCTGAAATTGTTAACAATCTCAACCTCTTCATCTATCGTGATGCTGCCAACTGGCCCAGTGGTGAGAATATTTGTTTTCTTGATGTTGACCTTCAACTCATAGTGAAGACTGTAATCCTTAACGTTCTGTAGCTGATGCTTCTGGTCCTCAGTAACTTCAGTGAACAAAGTTGTGTCACCTGCATAATGCAGGTTGTTGATAAGTCTTCCAATTCTGATGCCACATTACTCTTCAAAAAGACCAACCTCCCAAATTATATACAGATTGAAGAGTTATGGAGACAGGACACATCCTTGACACACTCCTTTCCTGATTTTGAACTTTGCAGTGTTTCCTTGCTCTGTTCTGATGACTACTTCCTTTCCAAGTATAGGTTTTACTTAAGAACAGTCAAGTGTTCTGGCGTTTCCCATTATTTATTGTGATCCACACAATCAAATGTTTTTGGGTAGTCAATAAAACACAGATAGACATTCTTCTGATAACTGTGCTTTCAGCCAAGACCCATCTGTCATTGATGATAGTGTCACTAGTGCCACAGCCTCTTCTAAACCCAGAATGTATTTCTAGTGGTTCTCTGCTAATGTACTGTTCCAGTCGTTTTGGGATAATCTTCAGCAGGATTTTGCTTGCATGTAATATTAGAGATATGGTTTGATAATTTCCACACTCTGCTGGATCATCCCTTTTTGGAATGGAATAAATATAGATCACTTTCAGTCAGCTGGCCAGGTAACTGTCCTCCCGATTTCTTGGCATAACTTGGTAAGCATATCCAGGGCATCATCTGTTTGCTGAAATATGTCAACTGATAGTCCATCAATTTCTGGGGCCTTGTTTTTTGTCAATTCCTTCAGAGAATCTTGAACTTTCTTCTTCATCACTACTGCCTCTTGGTCATATGCTGTTTCATGAAATTCTTCTGTGTCAGCCAATTCTTTTTGGTACATGACTCTGTGTACTCCTTCCATCTTCTTTAGATACACCCTGGATCGTGCAATATTCTGCCCATAGCATCTTTTAGTATTACAACTCAAGACTGGAATTTTTTCCTTCAACTCCTTCAGCTTAAGAAATGCTGAACAGGCTCATCCCTTTAGAGTCTCTGACTCCAGCTCTTTGTACATTTCATAATACTTTTCCTTGTCTTCCCATTCTGCCCGTTACAATCTTCTATTTAGCTCCTTAACTTCTTGGTTTCTTCCCATTGCTTTTGCTCGTCTTTTCTGACACCCAGCTTGGCCTTTTCTTCCTCATCTGTCTTTGTAATGACCTTTTGCATTCATCATGGATTGTATTCTTGATATCCTCCCACAGCTCATCTGGTCTTTGTTCATTAGAGTCCAAGGCCTCAAACCTGTTCTTGAGATGGTTTTCAACTTAAGGTAAAATTCTGTTTCCTGTGGACTTGATTTTATTTTCTTTAGCTTCAGTTTGAACTTTCATATGGGTAGTTGATGGTCTGTTCCACAATCAGCACCTGGCCTAGTTTTCACAGCTGGAAATGAACTTTTCCATTCACAATTTTTCCACATATGTAATCAACCTGATTCCTGGGTAGACCATCAGGTGAGGTCCATGTGTATAGCCATCTGTGCAAATCCTACCAAAAGTTCTGCCATCCTCTAGCATTAAAATGAGCCAACCCAGAGGAAGGAAGGAAGAATCTTACTTTCATCAATAAAGAAGAGCTAGATCTTCTGAAAGAAGAGGTTACTCAACAGATTCCCACTTTGACCCAGGAGAAGGAGCCACAGTGAGATGACAAGAAGCAGCATCAGAGAAACAGTATTAACAGAACTAGAAGACAAGCATGGTGAGCTTCATGGCCCACAGCATGAAAATGCTGAGCATCTTTGGGCAGCAGGCTTGCTGGAAGAGGAGTGCCACCTGGCACTTGTTGGAGTTACAGACCCACGGAGCTGGAGATCTGTATCTACAGGTCAAAGCTTACTGGCAGAGTGGGGTGTCTTTAGACAATTGTACTTCTTGTTGTTGTGTACCACTGAGTCGGAACTGATCCACTGCTGACCCTCCAGTAGCAGTAATAACACTGTAGCAGAAATAAGAAGGGCAAAGGGTAGGCCAATGGGCTGAGATCCAAAGAGAGACCTGGCTTCAGGTGCGTCATAGAAAAGACTGTTTTGATTGAAGAACCATGTCCTAAGTTGTTTCTGATCTCAAATGTCTGTGAGTTCTGTGTAGCCACTGCAACTAATTATTGAACCCACGGCTCTGGTGGTGTAGTTGTAGGCAGCTGTGCTACCCTAAAGGTTGTATCTGTCTCTATGGCAGTTCAAATGTGCCAGCTGCTCCTCAGGGCAATCTCTTCTGTGTGATTTATCAGACTTAGAAACTGACTAGAGGGTCAGCTATGTGTCGGTTCCAACTCAACAGCAATGAGAAAGAGAGAGAGAGAAGTAGAGAATGTTGTGGTAGGGATGGCTGGCATCAGAGCTGGTATAAAGGTTGGAAGATGATGGTGTGTTTGACTTCCATTTTAAAAGACTCAACTGCTCACCTTGATTTTTCTTCCCTGATGTGAAGTTAGAGGAGATCAGATGCTGTCACTATGGTATTCTTCTTCTTGTTGTTACAAGCTGTCGAGCCGCTTGCAACTCAGAGCTACTCTATTTAGTACAACAGCCCTGAAACCTGCTCTATCCTGTGCCAACCTCTGACACACCTACCCTCATTACCCGACTCACTGAATTGATCATATGAAATTTACTGTGGCCCATTTTAGCATGTGGCTAGTTACCAGTCAGTGCCTGAAAAATTAGCCTCTGAAAACCTATGGAGTGTAGTTCTTCACTGACAAGCACTAGGTTTCCATGAGTCAGAAATGACTAGATGACAAATGGCTTCGATTTTTATGAAATGTACTCAACATGACAAAATGAGAAATTAAGATAGAATAAACATTAGAGGTCTCAGCAATAAATGTACTATCAAACCCTTTTATATGGCTTCTTTTATGGACTTTCAGTGAGCTCAGGATACATTTCAGAAAAAAGGTTAGTGTGTAACACAATGTATACGAATTTTGTATGCACACCAATATACAATAAAACAAAAAAAGACGACAATTTTGGTAGCAAGCCATCTCCATGGGATAAAGGTCTTACCTGGATGTTGACAAACACGCCGTGGTAGGTCTCATACAGAACTTTGTTACCCTTCACATGCAGTGGAAATTCAAAAGGAATTTCTGTCTTGCCGCTGGGGAACTTTCCTGGCTTTACCATTTCTATGGTGCTGGAGATAATCTGGATAGGCTATAAACAAAAATCTGTGCAGTCCATCAACATATACTTTCAAATGACACTGTCTCTTAACAACTTCTTTAAAGACACAACCAACACCTAAAGCCCCTGGATGCTAGTACCTTGTGTCTTGGGCAACACAGTACAGAGTCTGGAAATGAATGAAAGCAGTTCCATTCTCACAGTCTCTGGCAGAATGGAGGTTTGTTATAGCTGGGCACATGAGAAACTGGACTGATAGATATTTCCTCCTCTCTTCCTAAATATCTCACTTAACTTTCCAAGGTGAGTGGGATCGTTAATTTTCTGTATACACTTGACTAGGCTTTGGTGCCCGGTTGGTTACTTCACCCAACGCTAGCCACTAGATGTTGCTGTTAAGGTATGTACTTGTGATTAACATTTATAGTTAATATCAAGTAAATAACCCTCCATAATGTGGGTTGTTAAAAAAAATGTGGGTTGTTGATATCATTGTGTTATTAGGTGCTGAAACTTGAGTACAACTTGTAGCAACCCCATGAACAGCCAACCTGAACCCCATCCTGTGCCATCCTGAGCATCCCTGAAGGCCTCATTTAATCTGTTGAAAGCCTTATAGCAAAAACTGAGGTTTCTGAAGGAAGAAGGATTTTTGTCTCAAGACAGTACTGTAAACATCCTGGCTGTTTTACAGATTTTGGGCACAAGATTGTTTGTGTTTCCAGCTTGTCAGTTGCCCTACAAATTTTGGTGTTGTCAGTAGCAAGGTAGGTGGCTCAATATTTGAAGCTTTGATTTAGCATAAGTCTGAGAAAGTTTATAACTTATAATGAAATTGTGGGAAAATATGCTAACGGCTCATATGTGAATAATTACCACTGTCGTTAAGTGCCACCAAGTTGAGCACAACTCATGGTGACTCTATGAACAAAAGACCTGAATCCTGTCCTATAACTATGGTAATTTCTCTGCATTCATAGAGTTTCCAGAGGCATGGAATATTTAATATTAATAGTCATCCTGAATTTCTTTTAACTCTTTCTCTCTCAAAACTTAAGACTTTTCCTTTAGGAAAAGGAAACTGTAAGTGGAGAAAACTTATTTACTCTGTGGAATATATAATTCTCCCTTCAATGACAAAAAAGAAACAAATGGCTACTTGCTTTATATGTAGCTTATTAGCTTAATGCCAAAGGAAACATGTTGTTATGTGCCATCAAGTCACCTGTGACTCATAGTGACCTTATGTACAACAGCTCTGAAGCTTGCCCTATGCTGAGCCAGTCTCACTAACTTATACACCTTCTCCCATTGCCCTAGTTACTATATCAATCCATCTCATTCGAGGTCTCCGTCTCCTGTGCTCTCCCTCCACCCTTTTGAGCATGATGTCCTTCTCCAAGGACCAGTCCCTCCTGGCCACATGCCCAAAATATGAGACAGAGCTTCAAAATCCTAGCCTCCAAGGAGAAAATTGTTTTTACCCTCTCCAAGACAGACCTATTTGTTTTCTTGGCAGTGCATGGTATGTTCAGGAGTCGTTTCCTGCACCACAACTTAAAAGGCAATGATTATTCTTCTGTCATCCTTAGTCATTGTCCAGCTCTCTGATGTATAGCATCTAATGCATATGATGCATGAATGCAACATACAAGATTAGTAATATAACCTCTGTATTAGGAAGGCAAGGAACATCATTAACGTAAGGTACAATTCTCAAAGAGATTTGAACTTTTATCTAAATGGACTTAGTTTATGTGTTTAAACTTAAATTCCATTTATTAAGTAACAAAAAACTGCAATTTCAGTAAGATGGATCTAGAAACAAAACACGTATATATGTCTTCAATTTGATTAGTAATTATTAAAAGTATAATCATCACCACTATTTGCAAAATAATGATGGATTACAACAATGAAGACAAATAGCACATGAAACCACCCAAACCATCTGAATATGAATGAAACATTTGAGACCTAAGCATTCTTACCTTAACGGAATTATAGAAAGCTTCAAACACACCCACACTTTTGGCACTGAGCTGGAGGTTTACACTTCCTTCCATTGTCAAAGAAACTCCCTGGTGTTGGACGGAATCCTTGCTAGTTATGACCACCACACCCGAGAGCATCTCCTAAAAGAGAAAACACCGAGTAAGCTGGCCTGCCACTGTCACTCACCTTGTTTGTGAGCAACAGTGGATCCACTTAACAATCTGTCAAACTTTCAAACAGACACTCACTACTGAGTACTGGAAATTTCTACAGAAGAGCTCAGGGCACCAAGACGGAGAAGGTAGGGGGCCATCTCATTATTGCAATGTGAGCTATGCATGCTCACAAGGGGCACCACAGAGGAGAGGGCCAGGCTTCACCCAACATCTTCCTTCACAGGCTGGGAGAATCATAATAAACTGATGGAAGAGTCCTGGCAACCACATGCGCGATCAACAGATCATGGCCACTTCCGAAAGGGCACAACTCAACACAACTGAACTTTCTTTGTTTCTTTCTCAATTATGCTGATTGAAATGACTACACCCTTTGAAAAGCTAAGTAACTTAACACAGCTGACAATCAGCTTGGCTTCCCTGCTGCCCAGAAAACCTCAAGTGCAAGTGAGAGATTTGGAGGTTATTGAAGTGCATGCAGGCAATGCTGCACTTTCCCTGAAGACTTTCATGGCCCCTCAAGCTCTGCGTCACTCTGGGGGTCATTCCAGTCAAGAGCTCCTGTTTCATAAATCACTTAAGAAAGACTTCACAATAGACCTTTTATTCATTTATCTGGAGATAATGATGGCGTAACAGAATAAGCACATTGACAGAATTCTTTATGGGGTGGAAGTTTCTTCCTGTCCTCACAGAACATGATCATAGGAATTTGTTATGGGAGTTTGAGAGGAAAAGGAAGTTGAGGGGATTAAATAAAATCAACCAACGCACAGAGAGAATCCACATAAATACAAAGCAATATGTTTAGGAAATGATCTTCGGAGAAGCAGCACAACTACGGTGATATGTAATAGGATGGCAGAAAGTTGGCAATGGAACAAAATCCTGAAAATAATCTGTCTTAACAGTGTTTAAAACTGTTTATCGTTCTTCTTATCATCCAGTGAGAAACTATTCACCAAGTTCTTACATTATATGGAATTTTGCGAGCAGAAATAGTCTACATCACTAAAGGTGCTTGGGAGTCCCCAGGTGGTATAAACGGTTAATGTGCTTGGCTATTAATAGGTTGGAGGCTTAAGTCCACCCAGAAGACCCTCAGAAGAAAGACCAAACACCATCCCTGAAAACCCAGTGATACTGCACTCGAAGCACATGGAGTCACCATGAGTCAGATTGTCTCAACAGCAACTGGTTTTTTAAAAAGCATTACGCATTTAGGTTTGGTTCCTTATACCCCAACTCGAACTTCAGAAGTCTACATGAAAACAAATACAATCATCTGTATAGTAAGTAGAATTCAAATAGCAAAACTCATTTTGCTCCTGACAATGCATAAAGCTTCTAAGCAGATTAAAATGAAAATTCTTCTGAAATAACCTATTTTTGTATAACTGAAAAAAAAAATCATAAAACTAACTTAAGAATGGTTAAGTTCACTGACATATTTTTAAGAAGTTAAGGTGGCTTAGTCTGCGGTGTGCTGCCTTGCTAAGCAGAGGCCACTCGCCTGGGAGAAAGACGATCAGTTTCTTCCACTAAGACTGACAGTTTCAGAAACCTGATGTGGGGTTCCCATGAGCCTGAACCGACAACATACCAATGAGTATGAGTCTGGGGTATATTTTTTTGAAATGTGCTATATTATTAGGTGCTGTTGAGTCAGTCCTAACTCACAGCGATGCCATGCACAACAGAACAAAACTTTGTCCGATACGGTGCCATCCTTATAATCTCTACTGTGTTTAAGCCTACTATTGTAACCACTGTGTAAATCTATTTTATGGAAGGTCTTCTCCTTTTTTGTTAACTCTCTACTTTTCTAAACATGATATCCTTCTTTAGATATCAATCCCCCTTGACAACATACCCAAAGAATGATGATCCCTGCCATCACAGAGGCTGCACGTCTTTTGGCAATCCATGGTCTAATCAGTAAAATCATTGATTTTTCCTTGAACTTCCTTATTTTGGCCAACTTTCACATGTTTGTGAAACAAATGAAATACCAAGGTTTGAATGTCTGAAGTAGCATACTTGCTCTCTAGTACTTTAAAGAGGTCCTAGGGAGCAGACATGTCCACAGCAAAGTATCATTTGGTTTCTTGACTGCTGCTTCCACTGTTGGTGATTGTGGATCCAAGTAAAATAAAATTCTTGACAACTTCAGGCTTCATAGAATGAGACAACAGTTTTACAAATCTTATAATAGTATATGAGGACAGCTCAGTTACTGAGTCAATGCACAATCCCAGTTAACTGCATACATACAAATCTGTGTTGACCACTAACTCACATATTGTAATCATTAACAGAAACCCTTCCTTCCTTAATGCTTAATAAAAATTTTCTTTCCTAAACAAGAAAGAGCACTGGTAGCCTAGTGTCAAGAAGCTGCACTGCAATTCTGAAGGCACACAGCTTGAATTCACCCGTTGCTCTGTGGGAGGATAAGCAATCTCCTCCCATGTGATTAACTGCCTCTGAAAACCTGCCAGAGGGTCAGCTAGGGGTCGGTTCTCACTCTACAGTATACAATAACAACAACAAATAAGAAAGAAAAAGCAGTGAAGAACCCTGGAAGTAAGCAGAATAAATATTTCAAGTTCCAAGGGATTTTTTAGTGCCACTCTTTGAATTGATTAAATAGTAGAGAAAATATATCTGTAGACAAATTATGTACATATAACACAAACAGAAGTGTATATGCATATACACACATGCCACCCCTAGAGGTGTGTGTATATTTAAATACACACACATAGAAACATTTCTATTGAATTATTCTTGCTTACTTGGACATGCTATCACGAGGGTCTACTCCCAGAGAAGTACAGTATGCATGGTAAAGGAGACGGTTGTTGAAAAAAGAAGATGCTCAACACAGTGGACTGGCAACAGTGACTGCAATAATGGGCTCAAACACAGCAATGATTGTCAGGATGCGAAGGCTCGGGAAACATTTCATTCTGTTATACCTGAGGTCACTAGGCTGCATTTGACAGCACACAGCAACATTCAATTCTTATCAATAATGAAGTGGGTACAGAATCAGTTTTGGGATAGACCAATGAGTCAGGGACTTTAGAAAAAGAAAATAATTCAACAAAGTGTTAAGACTCACAACAATGAAAAAGCTGACAATTCTTTTTGTTTTCTGTTGTTGCTGTTTTCTTCCTTCTCTCCCTCCATTGTTGTGTACCATCAAATCAGATCCAACTGGCATAGGAGGAGATTGCCCCTCCTCCAGCGGAGCATCTGGTGGATTTGAACCGTGTGCCTCTGGGATTGCAGCACAGCTTCTTGCAACTAGGCCGCCAGATCTCCCTAAAAGTTGACAATTCTTGATTAATTCTGGCAAATGAATACAGGGGGAAAAAATAACATAAATTAAGGAAAATCGAAGACCTTGCTAGGAAAGATTCCACCAGACATCTGTTTTCAATCTCAACAAGGAGAAAAAGAAGATTTCTGCCTCTGAGTGGTGTAAATACGTTCCCTCTCCATGCTGTAAAAAAGGGTTTTTCAAGTTGGGATGTTAAGTGTAAGGAGTGTCAATTATCCTCAGGTGGGAACAAACTAAGAAACAATCTACAAAGATCATATGCACATGAGCTTCTGTATTAGGGAGAAGGTCACAGCTTTTATTTATCACCAAGGCAGACCCTGACCTGAAATGGATGTCAGAGTTCTATGAGAGCTGCAGGTCGCTCGCTTGTACGCATACAGAAGACAACCGAGGTAGGTGGTGTTAATGCATTAGACAACAGTTTTCGCCTTCTCAGGGGCTTGCAATTGGGCTGTTGGACGCAGCACAGATGCATCAGATCCCACCAGCACCATGTGACACTCCCCTCTGAGTGAAGTGATGGGCTTAGAGGAACCCTATTACACAGAGCCTGCTGTACCAAGCTCTTGCTCTGGAGAAATTAAATCTAAGAGAAAGACCAACAGGCCATCATCAGCCACAATAAAAATTATTTCTGCCAGAAACAAAGCACACTCTATGCTCGGTCATGTCTGTTTCCCAACAGAAACTACTACATTCGTCTATCAGAATCTTCTGCCACTGAGCTGATTCTGACTTTTGACAAACTCACATGTCAGAGTAAACTGTGCACCTAAAGGTTTTCGATGGCTGATCTTTGGGAAGTAGATGGTCTCTCTTTTGAAGTGCTTCTGGTCAGACTCCAAACTCCAACTTTTTAGTTACCACGTGAGTATGTTAACCATTTGTACCACCAAAGGACTTAAAAAATTTGTTTAGAGGGTGATAAAATTCAACTGCCATTGAGTTGATTCTGACTCATATCAGCCCTCCATCAGGTTCTGAGGCTGTACACTTTATGGAGGAGACACCCATTTTTCTTCTATGGAGATGCTGGGGGCTCCTTTGGGTTAGCAGCACAACTCGCTACAGACTTTACCACCAGAGCCCACCCATAAAATGATAAAAGAGACTAAAATTTCCAATCTGGTCTCTAAATGTAAAAGGCGACCAAATCTTCTACATTCTCAAGCATGATGTCCCTTTCCAATAAATCGCATGATGTCCCTCTCCAATAAATCGCTTTTCCAAGCAGCATGCCCAAAGTATGTGAGACAAAGCTTCATCATTGTTGTCTCCAAAGAGCACTCTGGTTACACCTTCTCCAAGACATATCACATGTTTGTTCTATAGGAAGTCCATGGGATATTTAGTACTCCTCTCCAACACCACAGTTCAGTTCTTCTTCTGTCATCCTTATTCACTGGCCAGCTCTCAGCAGCATAGCAAGTGACTGAAAAGACCATTGCCTGAGTACTAACATCACTGCTCCTCAATAAGGTAGAGGGACAGCGAAAGAGAGGAAGACCCTTGGGCAGGTGGACTGACCCAGTGACTGTAGCAATAGGCTCAAGCATGTCAGAGATTGTGAGAGTGACACAAGGTGGGACAGGGTTCACATCTGTTGTTCATAGGGTTGCTATGAATTGTACTTAGTTCCACAGCACTTCACAACAATAACTACCAAACCTACACATTTTATCTCTTTAAAAAAATGTCAGTAGTCTCTCTCAAATGACCACTAAGTCACCAGAAGTGGTTCGAACCTACCAGCTGCTCCATAGGGGAAAGATGGGCAGCAATCTCCTTCTGTGTCATTTACTGCCTTTGAAAACCCACTGGAGGGTCAGTTCCAACTAGATGGTACATAACAACAAAAAACGTTTTTAGAATAAAAATATTTCTCATTATAACTATTTTAATTCTACAATCCATTGAC